CCTGCTGAAGTTATTTTTCATTTCTGGGAACAAATCATTTATTTGGATTTTCATATATCAGGATCACAGAGATTTGCCACAGTGAGATTTTAATTTTAGTTACATCTGAGCTGGCTTATATATTAGGGCACATAGTTTTGCATGAGAGCATCTTCTAAAATCTGTAATTGGTGTGGAACACTGACATTCTCAGAATACATCTGACAAGGTCCAGAGAATTAGGTTCAGTTTCGCTGATCAACATCTATGCTGCAGATTAACTGAATCTTTTCTGGCATTACAAGCCCTCCAGAATTCATTAGTGTACTTTCCCTTCCCGTAACCACTCTGACCTCCAGGGCCGCTGTTGCTGCTTCCTTGGTCTGGGCCTGAGAGGCTGAAACACTGGCTCTTTTCCGCTGCCGCACTAACAGAAATGAGAACGTGTATCTTAAACTGCTCAGGAGTGTGTATGTTTGCAGTTACCGTCTTGGCCTCTTTAGCACTCTTTGGGATTTCTGCCTCCTCTGTCTGTACCCGAAAAACTCCATTTAAATTGGAACATGGTCTGTCCCTTAAAAGCAAGAGAACTAGAGTACTATATTGGCCAGTGATTATAGTACAATACAAACCGGTACATATAATGAGGTTTGGCACGGATTTTTCTCAGAAATTGGCTCACAGATGCAGCTAGCAGAGTAAATCATTGTATTAAAAGCGGGAAGGGGGACAAACACATGAAGGAAAGCAATGCCAGCTTTTGGGAGGTGAGGGCACAGTACCTTTGCAGGCAGTGCTATAGTCAACGAAAAGCGTATTTCTGATAGGCCACCTTTGCCCTCCTTAAGGGCATGCCTGTGGGTTGCAAGTCAGCAGCAGCCCAGCCTTCTTACGCTTCTCGGGCAGTGGATGGGACCACGGCTCAGGACCAGGGAAATAGCTCCATTCACTGGGCTGTTGTTGTCCAGGCCCAGCTCCGCAGAAGTACCGAGGCAAGTTTGTCATGCTGAGGGCAAAGAGGAGGTTAATGTTTGGCAGGAAGGACAAGCAGAGAAGGAGAAGGGAGGAACAGTCCAGGTGTCCAACTCCCAAAGATGACTCTCACCTGTGAATCAGAAGCGGAGAAGATGCTTCCCTCCAGCCCAGTGGGGACCGGGACTTGCGACACATCTGCTCTTCCTCTGCTTCTCGCCACCAGCGGCAGCTCTCCTCCCTTGCCACAGGTGCCGGCTGTAGTTGGGTCCTTGCTGCAGCCCAGGCGCTGCAGAGAGGTGCTGCTGGGCATCTCTCTTGAAAGCTTGAACACTGCAACACCTAAGTACTCTGCTGATTTGATCCTTCTGCTTGACAGCTAGACCACTGTAAAGGATTAACGGAAGAAAATAGGAGCAGTAGCATCACCAAGTCCTTGTTTAGTTTCATGTTTATTTCATGTCCTCTTTTATTGCATTTTCTGGTGTTTCTCTTCTGCTCTTTGTATCGCCTCTCCTGTCATTTCTTTCCAGGCTTGCGCTGATGTGTGCTTCTCAGCAACCATCTTTGCCTTCCTCATTACTCCAGCCCTTACTTTCAAGTACTTTTACAAGAACGTCCCGCTTTCTCCTCTCGCAGGCTCTCGTTTTCTATTTTTTCCTTTCGTTCTTACCTCTTCTTTCTCGCTTCGTTCCCTTCCTTTCTAAATCATATCTCTGCCCACTGCTTCCAGCTTCTCCTCTTCTTCTTCTCCTACATTACTTTAAAAAATATGCATCAGTCTCTCTTCCTTCCTTTCTCTTCTGAAAGAAACTCATTAATGAAACAGTCCTATTCATTATGCTGTCTTACCGTAATTGCTGCTGGCTCGCCTTTCCCTTCCTCATAAAAGATTTGAACAGGACTGATGCCCTCTCGTTAGACCAGACTCTTTGCGCTCTCAGCCACCCCCAAGCACAGCTGACGCTTGCTGTAAGCACGGGGGTCAGGGACTGCCTTTTTGTTTGCTCAGTGCACCCACTTGGTTTGCATAGGAAGGTTCTGCTCCACGACAAAGGTTGGTAGGCATGAATAGATAATACAGGTAGCACAGTAACTGGTATTGATAACAATTCTGCTTCCTGGTAAAACCCCTGCCTTTACCTTGTCTTCTCAGCCTGGCACTACCTCTTGTCCCAACTCCTCTACTGCTCACCCGTGCCAGCACTTCCCCTTCAAGAATGGAAATACCCATCCTTAGAAGGGTCAATCACCACAGGAGGGACATTTTGAAGAGGGAAGAAACCACCACAACCAGCATTAAATTCCCTAAAGCAAGACTGCGCTTAACTGGGCAGTGTCCTTTTCACTTCTTACCATGGGATGGAGGAACGGGCCGAGCGGTGCAAGGCAGAGGCATTTCACAGGCATCCGATCGCATGGGTAGGCTTCAGAGGTCTGACCCAGCCCGCAGGCACGCAGGTGGGGCGTTCCCTGCTGGAAGCACAGGCCAGGCACGTGCGCTCCCGAGGAAGACTCCGACTCACTATATTTTACTGCGTCGCTGCGTTTACAAGCACTGAGTAATGACACTTGGAGAACAACGAGGCTGTTACGTACGGCCACAAAATAAGTTTACGCATCTACATGATAAAAAAAGTTCCAAAGAATTTAATGTAGATATTATTTATACATACACTTTGTAAGTAGGAATATGGCAGACAGTTGAATTAGTACATAAAGTTTTATTTAAAGTTTCCCCCCTACAAGCAAGCTTCATTTACACAGTCTAGTACTGTACAAAATTTACACTCTTTGTGTGACTTATTCAGTTAGCACTTTCCTTGGTCATGCCTTCCTGAAAGATAGAAAGATTTACATACAGTCCTCATAAATCTTTAAATTATCTTGGTAAAAAAAAGAACCACTTAAAAGGACAACAAATATCCTTTAAAAATGGTACGTTTTAGTAGAGACAGGTGACAGTCAGTGTTTAATGGCAGACCTTATCCTGATCTTAAATGTCATTCAAGGTTTCCTCATTTAGTATCTTAACAGTTTCCTTTTTATATATATTTATATTTATATACTTTCAACAGGAAAGGAAAAAAAAAAGTCATGATTGCACCAAATATATTTTACAAGGGATCCCTTGGATCTGAACAATATAAATAAATAGAAAACCAACTAAGATTGCACTATATAGTAGAAATGAATTGAGATTTCAGGATATACACTCCACCTTTATGAGTTCCTTAGTGATGCTCACTGGAAAACTCCCCAACGGCACATACAAATATTAGCATCTTCAGATAATTATTTTGTTTAAACAATTTTTTTCCAGGCGTGCAGCTGCCTCATCAATTGGGTTATTGCATTTGTATGATATCAGTCTTTACTGCATTACTCCAATTTTACAACTGTGTAATTCTGCTGCAAGCAAGGGAGTTGCACTGCAATAAAACTGGACTGATGCCAGAGAGAAACAGTCCCATGGTATTTGCTCTCCATTATTTATATTGCTCTCAAGCTTCAATATATAGTGTAATTTCTGTGTACATTCGCCCTCTTTCTATTTTGCAAAGCAAATAATGAATTCTTCCTCCCATCTACTGCCTCTGCAGCAGAACCCAACCTCCAGTGGTTGCCTGCTCCTTGCTTAATGCACTAGCATTAAGTCCTATCATAAAAGATATGCACAGGCTTGAAAACGCAGGATCTGAGTCTCCTTTGCCTTTTAGCTGGTGCAGCCAGTTGCAACTAGGCAAATTAAATGCCAGATTCTTAGCTGACATAACCCAAAGTACATCCATTGGCTTCAATGGGGCAATGTCAGTTTATACCAGCGAAGAGGATGGTACTGAGCCTAATGGATGCAGCACCAGTAAACCACAATGGAAGAACTGTGCATATACTTTGCTGAGGTGTAGATGATTATGTTAACTGCAAGGTGGTGAAGAATCAGGCTCAGATTTTGTTACCGCTTTTGCAAAGCCAGGACAGAAAGACATAAGCTTAAAACATGGACAGCCTGATTTGTGCAAGCAACTATGGGTTCAGGAAGTGAGTCCTAAATGCTACTGGTCCCATGTGGTAGCATTCTGAACTCACTTTGCAGGGTGTAAATAATTACACAAGCTATAAGGCAGTGGGAAGTCTAGCCTCGTATTACTTTGGATCAATAGTAAAAATCTTTCTGAGTGCATTTTAAGATCAACCACACAGGAGTATTTTAACTGCTTACCAGTGTCTCTCCAAAATTGTGCATAATCATTTAAGAGTCCAAAGCAATACACTTATAGTTAAATGCAGTCTTCTTGTCTTTGGAAGCAACTAGCATGGATGCTCCTATCTAACAGGTTAGTGAAAAGTAACGGTTCTGGGGCTTCATTAAGTGGTCATAGAAATAAGTTACTTTACAAACCCAGAATTTAAGGTGTAGGACCAAATTTCTCTTATACTGATGTAAAAACAGTCATTCCATGTGATTTCAGTGATATGACTCTGACTTTACACAAGTGTGATTAGAAGAATTTGATCCTAATCCCTAAGCTGCTATTGCAAGAAGTGCTCTGTAAAGCATGGCTTTCATTGTAGTCTGCTTTCCGCTGCACTTGCACGTGGGGACTTTGAAGACAGAGTGTATTAGTTGCCAAGCTGTGCAAAAACTGAATGATATTTCTTTACCTTTTATAATCTTCTGATGCTGTGTTGCTTGCAGAGCATGTGAAGTAGCTGTAGGTTAGGATTACAGAGGAGGAGACAATTCTGCAATGCAGTGTGAGCTTTTCACTATCTGAATTCTGAAGCATTCGTGAAAACAACATCCTCATGACTTCAACACAGATCACATGCAGGTAGATACAATGCACAATACTGATCTTGTCTCTTCAGGCTGTATTTGAACATTTAGCCTTCATTTTTTTTTAAAGTTAAATTTGACGTGAGGAATATCTCTGCAGCAGGAAAAAGTTAAAATCAGTCTGAAATGGCAGTCTGTCAGCATGTAATGTTCGGTGTGTTTTAGCTACTTGCTTCGTAAGACACCGGCATCTATCTGAGCTGGGACAACACTTGGTTTTTGTTTTCTTTTAGTTTGCTCCTAAAGCATAAATATGGAATAAGGGGTCAATTACGGTAGCTTTGTTTTAACAGGAATCCGGTTCTAATAAAATATTTACGTCACCCGTCATTATTTTCCCAAATGCAATCAGTGTTCGTGTCAGTGCTCCTTGACTATCATTTGTTGTACGGTACACAGGCTGGCAATATGACAGTTGAACAAGCAGGTCCTGCAAGTGGCTCAGCAACATCTCCTTCTAGTTCTGTCCAAGTCCCTTTCTCAGGACTATAGCAAATAGTAGAAGATTTGTAGGCTCCCTGTAATGGAACAAAAAGTCATATTAAATGTGGCTTTGGTAAAATCCAAGTCACACATCAGCTTTAAAGGTGTCTGAAAGTGACTCATGGTTTTGAGCTCTAATTTAGGAGCCCTTCAAGAGGTTTGGTTTTCATATGGGCTGAGCACCCGGCCTCTGCAAATCAGGCTCCTTTACAAGCGCCTTATAAGTAGAGCTATAAGCACAGAGTCCTGTCAATCACTTTTGCCAAATTTAATCTGATTTTTGTATTATTCCATATGAGTGAATACAGTCTGATAATAACTCATCTAAATAGAAAAGCACAAAGGTGAACAAATAATCCATGTTCTCCATAAGTTGAAAACCAAACCAAAACCAGCCTCTGCAGCTACTTCATCCCTCGTCTCGTCTCCGTCCCATCTGAGTAATATACAGACTGGCTGCAAGAGCTCAGGAAGAATGGGAGGGTCATTGCAGAAAGCAGGTACACACCATACTCCAGCTGTAGCCTCCTACAAGGTAAATACTGTCGTCAAGAACTGCGCAGCCAGGGCCACTGCGACCCTCCAGAATAGGAGTCTGGAGGATATTCCACTGGTCGCCTTTTGGATCGTAGCACTCCACAAGCATTACATCGAGATGGGAGAAACCTGGATGACGGCATTGAGAAAAGAAAACGTGCATTAGTTATGACATACTGTTTTATTATTTGTTTTACTGTTAAGATTATTAAATTACAGTTACAATTATATTATTACAATTATAACATCATTGTTAAACTTTCTTCTAGAAAATATTGCCATATACATTTAAGCCATCTTCTGTAATGTTAATGTCTCGTTACTTCAGTTCAAATAAATCTGTTGAGAGCTTTTACCATTAGTTCTACAGTCTTCTACAAATCACAAGTACATATAAAACCTGAACAGATCAGCAAGTAACACTCAGTAATAACCTATCAATGATGAAAGCAGATTCAAGCAAAATTCCTCCTCATCTATCAGTGCTAATGCGAGTTTGAACATGTAGGAAAAGCCTGTCCTGGCAGTCTTTCTCAAAGGTCAGAAGATCTAATCTATTCAAAAGTCAACAGATTAAATCTCGCTCAGAAATCGATGTCCAACAAGTCCAAGTAGAGCGCTTACACAACTGATGCCACTTCGTTCCAGAGGGACAAGGTGCCTAGCACGACGGACGTGACGTTCGGGACCAGTTTCAATTTTCAAGCTGATTTAAGGTGTACCCTAAGCAGCGGCTGTGATGTGACAAAGTCTTTAAGGAGACAGAAAATGTAACCAAAAACAACCCGGTGGTCGCATCCTTCCCTGACAGACCAAAGAAGGCTCCATGCGACTGCTGCTTTGTACTCACTAAAGGGCAGATGGGTCTCAGCTCAAGACTCACAAGTTGTATCAATTCGGTGAGCTGAACATAGACATACAACCCAGGAGTCCTGGTGCCTGCTCCAATATTTAGACATTTCCCTATCTCAAACTCCCTTCTTTAGAGCACCACAGTAAAATTATGGCTTTCTTAATATGCTGGGATGCTTTACTTGACACTACTGTCCTCTCCATCAAGGTACGATAGAAAAGAGAAGTTAAGATTTTCTGGAAAAGGGCATTTGGTGATATTGGTACTTCACAATGATGCTGCTTGTATGAGTATTATTTATGTCAGGAATGAATAGCTGTGATGAAATAATTTTTTGTTGCTGTGAAGTTTTCAAGGGGCCATAGAAAGGCCACCGCAGTGTGCCCAGAATCTGTAAAAAGCTCCGTAATAAACCGCAGTATGCACATGACTAGCTGTGATGCGACAAACGCACTGCTGAGACTAGTACACAGATCCAGCTTCACAAAGGAGGGCTTTGCTACCGAGTCCTGCTATTCCCGCCCCGGGTGGAGAATTTGTAGCATTTCATCCACACTTCAGTCCCCTCCCTCCTCCCCTTCCTTGCAGTTCCTCCTTTTGTTTCACTGTACAGAAGAAACCAGTTTTCCAAAAAGCCCTTCTACCAGACAGCCTGCAGCTTTCCAGAAGCCTGGATGTTAAATACCTCTCACAACAGCAAGCAATTAATACATAACAAAGGCACCTAGGGCAACAGTTGTAGAGGCAAAAATATGATGTTTATTAGAAGTTCCTTTTTCCCCAGAGGCTGGTAGGTGAAACTGGGTGAAAAAAAGAAGGAGAAGGCAGGCTGGAAGCAATTCAAGCCTATGCAAACCAAAGCCCGTGCTTTAGCTATAGGAAGGGGGTGACATGTTGACTACTACTTTAGGAGGAGAAAAAAGCCAACACTGTGGAATGCTGCAACCTTTACAAAATTTGCAGGTGCACGTGTGCAGGCAGCTTTTACCCCCTTCACCCTGCCAAGTCCAATCCAGGAACACCCGTCACAACTGGGGGTAGGGAGTGGAGACACAGCAGCCCTGCACCTGGCTGCAGGGATTTATGCACCAGTACTATTTACCAGGGAAAATTCACATCTGAGACTTTGTCCCCTACATGCGTCACAGGCATTCAGATCTTCAAAAGCATCATGTGGCTTCAAAGCCTCACAGGGACTTGGGTGCCAGAGTCATTCAGGCACATGGTCTGGTGTTACTGGCAGCTAACATCACTTTTTATTTTGCAGTACAATTTTCTCTTTTGTTGCTGTGAGTTTTTTTTTTTTTTTTTAAGCAAGAAAGGAGAAAGAAAAAAAAAGGGAACATAAATTGTCAAATACTGTCAGGGGACAAAGGAGCAGGAGCTGTGCTTTTTGTCTAAGTGGCTGGATTAAGCACAATCTCTTTAGCAGTAACAGCAACGGCATCTAGGTATTAAGACGAAAATACCAGATGCCTAAGCAGTAGTTATTTTAATATGAGACCTTTTTGAAAGATGAAAACAAGAGACCTCTAAAAAGAATTATAATTAACAAGCTACATTTAATACTAAAAAGGGATCTAAAGAGCCTAGTCCTAATATTTAATGGTTGGAGGTGTTTTTTTTTTTTCCCTTCATTAAATCAGGAGCTTGTGTTTGTGTGTTGCTCTGAATAAAGCTCTCTCTAACTGCACATTTTGGAAAATGATTTACAGAGGAAAATATTGCTGGTACTTTCGGGTCAAAGAATAATCTGTTTGTTTCATTGAATTCTTGGTAATGACAAATTGTCCATGCCTTTGAATAATGGAAGCTCCCATTTTTATTATCTAAAGCATTCATTACTCATATATTTAATGTACTGTTATAATTTTAAAATAATTTGCATAAAATGTTTTTAAAATTGCTGGCTCAAGTGTCCTGTTAAATTGTGTTGCCTGGTTTTTAATGTATTTAACAATGACTGTCTAACAAAAATATTCTTTATCAGGAGACAGGGGACACTGAAATGCTTTTTCGCTATTAAAAATGTGACCTTTCAAATGGTTTCCTCCAATTGCATACAGTCGATCATTCATTACGGCCAAAGTGTGGATTGCTCGCTTTGTGTTCATGTCCTGTTTTCGGGCCCAGACGTCCATCACAGGGTCATAGCAGTACAGCCAGGGGACATACTCGCCATTGTGAACGCCTCCTGCAAAGTAAACATACTTCTGTTAATCAATGTAAATAAAGACATTGTGCTGCAGCAGGA